ATTTCATGTAATTATTAATTATTTAATAGAAGAATATATTGATTCATTTAGTCATGCATATTTTTAGATTTTATTCAAGATTTTTGATGATAAATTTAATATTAATTAAAGTTTTGAAAATAACTTATATAAATTCATATATTTGATTCATATAATTGTGTATAATTATAAATTTTAGTTATACATAATAAATAAATACTTTAAATTAAAGATATGTAGGATAATTTGACTCAAAATTCAACTTGACTTACTTTATTAGAAATACTATTATTAATAATCAATAAAGTATATTATTATCTGAAATCAATATTTATTTTTATACTTATATTTAGCATATTTAACTGCTTCAAACTATAATATTTAGTAATTATTAAGAGAACTATTTGTTTATCATTAGCTTTTTTCTTATTATTTTCAATTATTTTGATAATAACTATAGTCAGTTTTTTGTTTACTTATATGAATTTAAAGTATATAATAGTTTTTTTGAGTTAAATTTGTATATAATAATTTATTATTATATAATATTTACATTATTTTCAAATCACTCTTCCAATTTTTTAATTTCATCTAAAATTTATACTTTTATAATATTTATTATCAAAATAAGCTAAATATAATTAAAAGATCAATAAAGTATTAAAATTATAATATTACTAATTGATGATTAAGTTGATAAGATATTACATTAAATATTCTACTGCTTTTAATAAGTTTGATAAGTACAAAGTTTTACATAATTAGATTTATAAATATTTTTTAAAACTAATTTTAATTTAATAATATCACTTACTTGTTAATTCTAATTAAAAAATTTTATATTATTAAATATTAGCATAAGTATAATATTTGAAATAATGTAAATACAATAGTTTTAAATTTGATTTTTTTTATTTAATCTTTAGGTTAGCATATAGAATAGTGGTTATTATTTATAATTTGTTTGAATTCTTTCATCTATTAATTCAAAAAGATTTTTTCTATTAAATATAAAAAAATAAGCTAATTTTATTTCAAATCCTATTAGGAGTTTTTCTTTTGAATACTTGTTTTCACAAAATCCTTTAAATTTTTGAATAATATAAAATTTTCAAATATTTTTTGTTCATAAAAAAATTTCTTTTTGTATTAATGATTGATGATATGTATTCATAACTCACATCTTCACATTTATTTTGATTTGAACTTTCAATATTACATACAAATATTTGAAATTTACTAAGATAAACAAAAAAGGGTTAAAAAGAAACATTTCTAAAAGACTTTCAAAATAATTGATTGATTATTTGATTCAAATTTATGTGATTCAGAAAATTTTGTTTTTATTGAAAAAATAATTCAATATTTATTGCTTCTTCAATATCACTTGATTTGCCACTTGCTTAACAAAGATATTCAAGTAAATAAGAATTATTTTATTGCCTTTAACAACTTTCAGATAATACTGAAATCAGTAATAATGCTTATACCAATATGTATTAGATAAAATTGTTTAACATTTTTATCATTATTATTGGTAAATCATCACTCATGAGAAAATGTGCCAAAGTAATGTTTGTGTACAATTGAACCTATAGAAATAAGTTTGGAGAAACTTGTTGACATTTTGATATAGATAATTAGCTATCAAAGATACAAGATTGAGAAAAAAAAAATTTTTTATTAATATAGCAGAGCATCACATTATTGTAATTAATGTCTATCACAGACAGATCGTCAATTATTATAATTTTATTTTATTTTAAATTTTATATTAGCCATAAAAGTGGCTACATCACACGTAACTAACTATATAAATGAAGTCTGAAATATTTATTTATTAATATGAAGAAGGAATCAAAATAGATTACTACTAAAAAATTAATGTTTAGTTATAACTGAAAACTTGTATTAATACACAAAAATGTTTGAATATAAATTTTCTTCTGATTTTTAAATACCTGGTTACTGATACATTATCGATCTTATACATAACTTCCTTTTATCCATAAATGGAATTTGTTGTAATTCTCACTATGAATCCGATCTTACTGTCATCTCCGTTGGTAATAGTAATTGTGTCTAATTTCACCAACAAAATTCATCGCTAAGCACTTGATGCATTTGACTCTTTGCTTCCTCTACGTGATTTTTGTTGCTTTTAGTCAATGAAAAACGTAATAGAAATCAGAATAAGAAAACAAATAAAACGATCCCAATTGCAGAATAGGAAATTTTTAATCAAACGTCAGGAATGTTTCCATGCTGATTTATGCTGATCGTATGCTAAATAAATGAATGAATGAGGTATCACATGTGAAGCAGTTGAAAGAACAAAACATAATACAACTATTAAGGTAATTATTTCGAATATAAAACCACAGAATGAAAATTCTTGAACGTAAATTGTTTAAAATAAAATTGTTTTATCGAAAATGTCTACAGTAGATTCAAGTGATTTAATTTTAGTTAATAAATTACCAAAACCTGAAGAAATTTTTAAATTAAAAAATGATTATATCGAAGGAGAACCATTAAAATTTGTTTGGATGGTTGAAGAGCATTTAACTGAAACATTATGGTGGCCTTCCAAGAATAATGAAGAAAATTTGATATTATTTGTTATTCCTGGTAATCCTGGCGTAATTGATTATTATTTTGAATTTTTGAATACAATTCATAATGAACTTGGAAAGAAAATCGACATCGTTGGAGGTTTCGTATAATAATTAATTTGATTTGTTCATCAGAAATGGAATATATTTCGTGATCTTGATAAACATTATACATCTTAAAATAACAATAGTTTCAATGCTTGGGCATTCTCATGGACCGCATAATCCACACTTAAAAAATCTATATTCGCTTCAAGATCAGATCGATCATAAAATTCAATGCGTTGATAAATTAAGATCACAATTCACTTCTCAAGAAGATAAGAAACAACCTAAATTCATTATATGTGGACATTCAATTGGTGCATATGTTGGTTCCCAGGTATTTACATCTTCAATGATGAAATGAATCCATTTAAGTAAATGAGAATTTCTAATTCTGATTTTGATTAGGTGTTGAAAGCGAGGCCAAATCATGGAATTGAAAATATTTATGCGTTGTTTCCCACTTTGCAACATATCGTAAAAACTCCTAATGGCATGATGTTGAATGTAAGTTATTGAATCAACTTTTTTATTTTTATTTTTATATTTTCGATCGTGAATTCATGTGTCAGATCTAATCCTAAGTCTTAAAATTTTACGTATTTACGAATTTCAACATCCCAGTTCTTATTTAATGAACGTGCACGTAGTTTAGCTGCTTCATTCGTTGGAAATTTACGTTATTTTGTTCCACAAACTTTATTCAAATTCTTAGTCGCCCTATTGACCCGTCAAAAAGAATCCATGATAGACATCACATTGTCTGCTCTTCTACATGGACATGTAGTGGAAAACTCATTATATTTGGCGGGTCTTGAAATGGAAACTGTATGTGAATTAGATGAAGAACTCTATCGAGAGCATCTAGATAAATTTATATTTTATTTTAGTGAAGGTGATGGATGGGCACCACTTGAGCATTATGAAGATATGAAAAGAAGATTTCCTGAGGGAAGAGTGTTATTATGTGAAAGTAATACACCACATGCTTTCGTATTGAATCATGGAGAGGTTATGGGAAAAAAAGTTGCTGGATGGATGTTGACCCTAATCGAACTCACATTAAATCGCGTTTAATCCTTTTTTTTTTTTAAAAAAAAATTAATTAATTAATTAATTATTATTCAAATTAATTAAAAATAATTATTCAATAAACTATTTAATCTCCAAGCATATAAAGAATAGATACTGGAGGAAGTGCCATAAAATCTACTTCCTTTTGATGAAACTAGCAAATCCCTAAAGGAATCAAATATTCAAAAATATTAACATTATCTGTAGGATTCTTCAATGACTTTTAATTTCTTTTTAGTTAATGTTAATGTCGTTGTTTCAATTTCTTTGTGACTAGAGTTTTAACGGTAAAGTTTACAGTATTTTTATATTCGCTATAATCATTTGATATTTTAATATAAATGATTCAATTGTTTGATTCGTGACTTTTTATCACCTAACCGTGCATGAACTCCTAAAAAATTTCTCTCTTCTCCAATTTTATTTACTATATTATTTAATTCATGCCAAAATTTTTTACTCTCGGGTAATTCTCTCACGATCCTTCTGATTGAATATAAACTACCAAAATGTAATAATTTTTCTATTCGATGTTTTAACCTTGTTAAATCAATTCTCTCTTTAAATTCATCCAAATTAACCGTTGAATTGAAATAATCATAATATCTATGATGATACCTTGTACGATCCTTTGTTTAATACCCTCTCGTTCTTTTGTATTATTATTTAATAAGTTCTGCATGAACAAAATCTTTTCTATAAACAATCTTATACATTTTGTTTAATCCATTTCATAATTCGTTGTAATACAATGTTTTCCATGTGATTCACATTCCGTAAAATTATTTTGATTCGGGATAATCTTTGTAATAATTGATCAAATGGTTCCACTAAAAAATAATATCGGTGATAATATTAATGTTCGATTTAAACACCATGTTAAATATATCACATTTTCCGCTGAAATCCAATATGTGGTAAATATGAGATAAATTTTTCTTCCTTTATTTTATAAGATTCGATCTCTTTATCTTGATTTAAAAGCAGTGTTTGTTCTTTGATTATTTATTGAATCATTTTAATGTATAAAAAATTATTTATATAATTTAAAAATATAAAAACATTTATCATTAAAACTAGATATATAATGATTTTATTGATATTGTATCGTCATTTTTAAAAATTTTTGTTAAAAGCTGAAAAATATATTGTCTCTATATAAATTCCTTTCCAGTTACACGATCAACATATAAACAATGTTATCCTCTTAATGAAATTGTAAGAAAATACCATTGCTTTGCCAAAATTAAACTAGATATTAATTAATTTAAGTCGGTGAAAAATCTTTTATTCTAACATGAAAACTTCATCCGTATCATTTTCTTCGTGTATAAATCCTCCTTCTCTATCGTTCTCTTCATTCATGAAGTCATCTCCCGTATTAACCTCAACCTTATCTTCACATATAAATTCACTTTCAATATCCATATAATCCGAAAAGTCATTATTATTAATGACGACCTTGTCTACGATACTTTCATTTGTTTCACCCTTGTCATCAACACCAATTGAATTATTATTGTCTTCTTCATCGGTATCACCATGATACAATTCACTTTCTCCTTCTGATTCACCATGATGAAATTCACTTTCTTCTTCCTCCATATCAGACCAATCATGTTTTACATAATCATTTTGTAATCTCATTCGAATTTTTATCCCAATAATAAACTTTCTCCATCTTGCTAGAACTGCTTTTTCTCGTTTTGCATTATTCTTAGCTTCAACAACACTTGCATGTTCATGCCATGCCTATTCATGGGAAAAAAACCAAATTGTTCAAAATCATATATCAAGATCATATCTTCTTCTCGAATATATGACTTACCTCAAGCAACATTATTTCATTTTCTTTTGCAACAACAATTCCGTGAACTACGGGAATGCATCGACGAGCTTGGAAATCAAATCCAACCTAATAAATCGATTCATAAACTTATTAATTGAGCCACAAATCATTAAAGTAGATAAATTAATTTTTTTAAAAAAAAAATAGCCAAAATTTACTAACCACGGCATCTCCATAATCAATACCTAAATCTTTTGCAACCTTTCCAATTCCATTGACTTAATAAATAAGAAAAATCATAAAATTGTAATTGAGCGTATAAATAAATGTATATAAATAAACTAATACCCAGTTAACTTACTTGGAATATGGACACCTCCGATTGGACACATGCATTCCTTAAACATATTCACATTACCATAAGAATTCTTTGGTATCTTACCCTAATTAACAAATTATCATTTCGATCAAAATATAATTATTAATATTAACAAAATTATTGTTAAAAACAATTTAATTATTTTTTTTTTTTTTAAAAAAAAAAAACGTAGCTTACGTTTATTATCGGTTCAGGTATATATTCTTCAGTTTGCCACTCACCGTATAAACCAGATTCAGGGGGGTCTTCATCATATAAGGAAGCCATATTTGCAGCACGACGTTTAGATACGGTGTAAATACGCGATTTTACGTGCTTTACAGGTTGTTCCCCTATCTAATAATATAAATACGAGTGTAATGGAATTATGAAGAAAATATATAAATTATATAAATAAAATATTCATTTTACCTTGACTTGTCGACCTTCCCTTAACCAAGTTTCAGCTGTATGTAACTAAAATATTATGATAAATAATTGTAAAGAATCTATGAAATGATCAATCATCAATAACATACTTGTTTAACATTCCTGCGTGGATAAATTGGTTCATCACGAATATGACCTATTATTGGTTGTTTTGGATGAATTATTTCGTACTTTTTTAAATGACGCTCGAGAGCATACCTAATATATTACAAATGGTTATCTAACCGCTACTTAATTCGCGTCTATAGTAAATCTTCCTATAAAGATCGGATTTATAAATAAATAAAAGTGTATCTTACGTACAAAGGATGATTATTGAACGGACCAATTGAAGTTGGTATACGTTCGGAAACTTCAAGTTTATGTAAATGAGCATCTTCCTCATCATCTTGTTTCTATAGTTATAGCGACATTAATACAAATATATCAATATCGTTAAATTACAAAAGGTTCTATACATACACTTTCATATGGACGTGCAAAATAAACTAATGTTTCGTGCCACCAATCATAACCATCTTTGGTGACAGGAACTCGTAATTTTCGCGTTCGCGCTCCCCATTGTGTAGCATAACGACGCGTCACGTCTTTTATATAGCCATCTATTTTCACAACTTATTTATTTTAAATTCATTAAAATAAAATATTTATTAGGAAAATTACCTTTTTCATATGCAACTACATAAGCCATAATATTATCTGTGACATTAGATGCAGGCTCCATTGCTTGTGGTGAATTCACCAATGCACGAACTGGATCTACACAAATCCATTTTTTATAAGCAGCAAAATAAACCTCACACCAGAATATTGGAGGTACATCGGATTTTTGCAAATCTTATGGTATAGAAATAAAGTATATTAGTCGAATCAAAGAAGAAAAAATTTTTTTTTTTGAAAAAAAGTATCGATATTTAAAAATTACTACCATCTTGTTTTCGTCCTTTTTTTGAAACACTACGTTGCTTTTTCGAGTGACCAACACGGACATCTTTACTTGATAAAGGATTATAATCATCGTCATCTTCATCATCATGGTCTCTCTTTAATTTACTACCTTTACTGTTCTTTCTGTTTGCATTGAGTTTATATTTTCCAAGTCCAAGTGTTCTCTGAACTTCTTCATTGATATTATTATTCATCAAATTTTCATTATTGGAACCGTTACCTTCTTTTCTATTTCGAGAAGCAGCAGTTTTGTTTTTACGAGCAAACCTAAAAGAGACTGCTTGTAAGGAACATACTAATCGTGCAGGTATTCCTAGTGAACGCAATGCAGCAACAAATAATTGTGTAGATGTGTCGCGACTTCCTTCTCCAACCCTAAGACTTTTTCGAAATGCGTCAATAGATGGTAAACAATCAGAAAATTCATCTTTCTAAATCATAATGATTATAATGAATAAACAGTTGAATAATATGAACAAAATTAATAAAAAAAACTTTATGTACCTCAATGATATTTTCCACACCGTCCTCTCCAAATTCATGATATTCTCTATTACGAATTCCAGGTTTTGTGATTGTAAAATAATTTTTCCACCATTTACACAAATCTTGTAATGCTATGGTCAATAAATTGGCGTGTTTAACATCAATCTTTACCAAAGCTTTGTCAAATAAGGCTTGTAATTCATACTCGATTAAAGAAAACGCCATTGCCTATAAAAATAGAATTAATTAATGTATTTCTCATAAGAAATCAAATGTTTCAAGTATTTATTAAAGATAAATGCCTGTGTCATTTCATCATTACACCAATCATTCCTAATTCTACCATGGGTTAGTAGGGTAAGCAAGTGGGTTTTGTGAATATTTTGTCGAATAACTCGCTCTATTTTAGTGACACCTCGAGCTCTAAATTATTATTACAATATTAATTTCTGATAAGAAATTATGTAAAATACATAATTAAATACTCTATTATTCGAAAGAGCTAAAGACGCAATACTTGTATTGAATCTTAGGCATCTTAAAGGTCAGTTGAATCGTTTTATTCGGGAATGGCCTCGATTCTGATAGATTATCAGATAGATCTAAAAATGTAAAAAGTCAATTATTTTTCTTTCACTGGTTAATATTTTAGATTATAAATTACATTTACCTTGATATTCAGAAAGGTCTACTTCTTCCCAATCATCACTATCATCTTCTTCATTCACATTATTTGATTGCAGTGAGTGTTCTATAGTTCCATTATTACAAGAATCATTATCATTATCATGGCTTTGGCCAAATTTTCTTTTCTGTAACCAGGAAGAATCAATAGGCTCAAGAAAACTTTTGGACCCGTCGGAATGTTGGAAAATTTCCTTTGATTTCCCCTTATTGATAGAAGAATCAATTAAAGGCAAAGTGCTCTCCTTCGATTTTCCTTTATTAATAGATGGTTCAGCAGGCGTTATAAGTACATCAATAGCTTCTGTTACTTCTTCACAAGCAATAGTTTTTGAAGAACGACTGATATTCTCAGTTGGAATGCTTGTAGAAGAAGTCATATTAACATTTTCGACACTTTTTTTCGACCTGACTTTCCTTTTAGGAATCACAATAGACTGCTCAACACTTTCATTTTTTTTGTTATTATCAGTTAAAGCGGCAATGCGTGCTGATCTTCGAGGACCCATAATATATGACAATTTTAAAGAAATGTGAAAAATAGAGATTGAACCAACTCTGCGCATTTATAAATTCATTTTTAAATGAAAATTTATCAGTAACACAAAATAGATCATACTTTTTTTACCTCGTGGTTTACATAATAGGAAGCGAGATAAGACTATTTTTAGCAAGTGCTGTAATTTGTTTTTTGCGGATGATTAACGTTAAAGGTAATAATGTATAGCACATTATGCACATAAAAGGTGTATTTTGGTAAATGAAGTTAGATACGCGAAACAAATCTATTTGACGTTGACATTCATTTTTCTAAAATTCGTAAAGGGTTACTTTCGTTAATTTCAATGTAAACTTATTTTTGCGGAAATAAGAAATAATAATTTCATTTAAGATCGAAATCGCATAAAATTTTAATATTAATAATTGGTAATAAATTTAAAAAATGAATAGTATAGAATTGTAAAATTCAAATAGTTAAAGTTTTAGCGATTTTTTTATTCTTTGTTTCTCGTAAAATTTTGATGATTCAGTACTATGAATTCACTTAGACTAAAATCGATAAAAAGAAATGTTGATTGGCTTAAAAGAATGTTATTTTGAGCAATATTTCATAATTGTTCTCTTTCTATATATTTTTTAATCTTGTATGTTAAATATTTTGAGTTTTAAAATTAACAAGTTGGCAAAAAAAAAAAAAAATTTAACATTTTTATAAAAAATTAATATTATTATTATTAAAAAAACTTAATAAAACTTATATTACATAAAATAATATGGGAATATTAAAACGCTTTAGCTATATTATATTATATAATATATATTAATTATACTGCATATAAATATATTTTTTATTATATAAATATCTAAACTATTTAAAATTATTTAAATCTCCTAATTTTAATAAATTTTAAAAAATAAATTTATTAAAAATATAAAATGATTAGATATTTCATATATTAAATTAATATAAATAAAAATTATATAAAATAATAATATTAAGCAAATCGATAGTTTTAAATAGATTTTAAATATATTTTCTATGTTTAAAATCTTATTTAAAATATTTAAAATTAAAAATATGTTTAACTTATTATAATATAATAAAATTTTAATTATTTTATTTAAAATTAAATTATTTAATTTTTTAATAAATTTTAATTTTAAAATATTATTATATTATTAAAAATTAGATATTATTGTAAACAGCTGATTAAAGTACCTATAGTATAGCAGTATTAGATTATGACTTATATAACTTATATAACTTATGATCATCATATGATTATTGATGAAAATTATATGACTTTATGATCATAATCATATAATAAATAATAAATAACTAATCAAATAATAATATTTATAAAAATTTTATTTTAATATATTTAATGAATTATTTTATTATAATAAACCAATATAATTTCAAATTAATTACATAAAAAATTGAAGTTTATACCTAAATAAGTTAGTGTTTCTAAATCTGTAATAAACAAAGTTTTAAATTCAATTTTGCTATTTGGTCATCAGCAAGATAAATTTATCTATTATCAATATTAGAATTATTTTTCAACTCATTATTTAAAAATATAGTATTTTCATATTATTAAATTGATTTTCTTTTTGTGTAGCTTCAATCTATTCATTAATAATTATATTCTAAGATATTTTATTTTTATTTATAATAGTTTCTATTTTATTTTTAACATTTTGATCTTTACAATTTTTTTTATCATTATTAACTTTTCATTTTTTATCATTTATATTTTAAATTTCAGTAAAACAAACTTAGAGATCCTAGGATAAAATTCTAAAAGATAAGTAAAAAAGCTTCTAAATATAAGTTAGAAATCCTTTTAATAATACAAATCTATAATATAGCATTTAAATCTAAAAAGTATGCTAGGATTCAAATTTGTTATCTTACTTCTTTAGTATAAAATTGGGATTTTAAAAGCTAAAATCAAACAATTTATTATGATTTTTCTAACCTGATTTTAAACTTAACAAAAATATTAAAAAAATTTATACCATTCTATTTACCTTTAAAATAAAGTAAGATTAGCAAGAACTGAAGTATTCAAAGCTAATCTTATTAAGTCTTTACAAACTCTCTTTATATATCAATATATTACATTATATTATATTAAAAATATTAAACATATAAATATGTTTAATATAATTAATATAGTAAGGCAATTATGAGGCTTTTGGAGCAAAATTTCTGAATATATATAAAAATAGTGTGTGATCTCCTAGCTTTTTTTCTAATATACAAAACTTTTTATAATCTTTATTGAACTTCAAATGAGTTGCGAGGATCAGAAAATATATCGAAAATCTAATATTGAATTTATACTTAAAATCAAGCTGAGTTATTTTTCTGCTATTCAAAATTTTTAGTATTAAAATTAGCTTAGAATTAAGCTTGAGATATCAAGAATATAACCATTTCATATAACCATTCTAGTCTAATTTTAATCTTAAATAATATAACGAAAAAATTATACTATTCTATTTATATTTAAAAACTGTTAAAAATTTGAAGAACATTTATATTTAAAAAGTCTTGTCTATTCTGAATGTAAATTTAATTTATATAGTAACTAATTATGTCATATTGCTTATTTTAGAAATGAGCAAAAATATTGAAAATCAAAGTATTTGAGTATGCTCTTTACAAGTTTTTGTAAGCTCAATAAGCATATTATAATTTTATGTTATCTTAGAATTAATTCTAGAGCTGATTTATTATTGTAAACAAATTCTGTCTAAGTCTAATCTTAAAAAGATTAGACTTAGATAGTTTAGATACTAAATTCTTAATTAAAATAGTATCAAGCATATTCTAATATAATATTAATTTCTTGATATACTAAAAATCATTCTAAAGACATTTTTATTTATGCAGATATAAAAACAAAAAATCTAACCTCTAAAGTCTAACCTATCCTATAAGAAATTTGTATACAGAATTGTATATAAAAATAATACATTTTTAATATTCGTAAATAACATATAATATATACGTAATTATTACATATAAATGATAAGAAAAAAGACAGAATTACAGATATATAAAAATACATAAATTAAGTATATTATATATATAATTTGTATATACAAAATTACATATATTATATAGGTTTTATCAGTATATTATATATGTAATTTATATATAATTTATATATAATTTTATATAATTAATTTTTCGTAATATTATCAAATTATAATTTATTAATATATAATTTAAAATTACTAATTTAAATTTATTTATTTATTAAATAAAATATAATAATAATAATAAAATACAAATATTTTATAATAATAAAAATACTATTTAACATAACAATAATATAAAATATAAAAAAGAAATACAATAAATAATATTTAAAATATTAGTTAATAATATATAAATGAAGTAATAATAATAATATTAGTAATAATATTTAAAAATATAAAAATAAAGTTAATAATATTAATAATATTAGTAATATATAAAATATTAAAAAAAGAAAGTTAGTAATATTAGTAATATATAAAATATTAAAAAAAAATAGTAATATTAGTAATATAAAAAAAATAAAAAAATATAATTAATAAACCATTAGAAATTAATAATATTAGAAAATAATATTTAAAAAGTAAATATATTTGATAAAGAAAGAACGAAAAAAGAAAGAATGTAAAAAATTAAAAAAAAATAAAAATTTTTTCTATTAATATGCGTGTAGTTTAAGATCTCACTAGAAAAATACCTATTTGCTAAGTAAATATTATCCTTAAAACTAGCTTTTTAAGTCTCTAATCTTCAGTTAAGCGGTATAGTAATCTAATCTAAAAATATATCTCTAATGATTTACCACCTAGTATAGACCATCTGTAACAGCTATACTTGCAGTTACAGGTCTACTAGACTGTTAGGTATCATCACCTTTAGATAGAGGATTTACTTTAATCATAGAGCTTATTATATTTTATTTTTACCAATTTAATTTATAGGGTTTTATCCTATTGATAACTACTAAGACTGTAAGATTAAGTCTTTTATACATATGATAGTTTTGACCATAACGTTAAATTTATCTGAGAATTGAACCCAGCTTTTACCTCTAATGATAGTTCAATTTGAATGGTATTGCAATGTATAATGCAGTTTATTATTATCATAGTCACTCGTAGGTAGTATCCAAATCTACTAATTACTGGTTAATCACTTCTTTACTTGTGTAAGAGCCCCTAAATTTGAAAACGTGAGACAGTATTTATTATAGACTTATTAGTGAAAGCTAAATTTCTATTGATCTCTGGCTTCATTTGCATCTACTTGTTCTTCAAATCTAATATTTAGACATGATTAACATTAATTGATTGATTGATTGATCAGTTACTGATGCATATTAGTATATATACTCACGTATTTAGTTACATATGAAATTCTTATAAAAATCATCTAGTTTTATGTCTCAGCTGAAACATGAATCTGTAACTATTGCAGTATAACCTACAATAGAAGCTAATTATTGCTAACTAACTAGAGATACCAATCCCTAAATCAAAAAATAATAATTTTTTTTTAAAGTATGTTAGTTTCGCATAGTCTTTATTAAATTTAGAGTATATAAAAACAAAAGTAAAATATACAAATTTAAGAAAATATGAAAATCTCTATCTAATCAAAATTAAATTAAGACTGATCCTGCACTTTTCTAGAATCTACTTTTAACCTAAGCTAAAAATATCACTTTCTAGTAATAAACTGAATGAGAAAGGGCTTAGTCACTACTATAGATACCTGCTAAAATCTTCTCAAAATAATTTCGTCATACTCTTTTCTATGTTTTTAATATAGTTTAACAATTTTAGCTTTTGTCATATCGAATGGATTTCGTCATATCTTTTATTATAATTTTAATATAGTTTTGTCTAAGTTTTAACTATTATTAAGGGATTTCATCCCTCATCTATAATTATTACAGTACTAAAAATTCAACTAATAGGATCCAAAATGGAC